CACCGCAACCTCCGTCTCCTGGGTTCAAGCAGTTCTCCTGCCTCAGCCTCCCGAGTAGCTGGGACTACAGGCGTGCACCACCATGCCCAGCTAATTTTTGTATTTTTAGTAGAGACGGCGTTTCACCATTTTGACCAGGATGGTCTCGATCTCTTGACCTCGTGATCCACCCGCCTCGGCCTCCCAAAGTGCTGGGATTACAAGTGTGAGCCACCGCGCCCGGCCAATAATCTTTTATATACACTTAATATTTCAAAATTCCTTTACAGTTAACTGAAAATGGCTTTTTTTTTGCTTTTGTGCATTTTTATGTTTTACTGAGTTATAAAAGATTTTTATGCATTTTAGGCCTTTTTATATATTTTAGACCTTTGCCCTTGATTTTTGCCTGTGTTATAATATTATTTATACTATTTTTTTCTGTGCAGAATTTTAAATCTTAATGTAATCAAATGTGTTGATTTTATTAGTCTTTGATTGCCTCGGTTTTATAAGCTCTTCTCTTATCCAGAATTTTTTCTAGTTGTTTATGCCTTCTCTTTTTTATGTTGGAGTCTTTGATCTATTGACATTTGTTTTTATGTTAGGAGTGAAGTAAGAACCCAGCTTTATTAATTTTCATTATGTTACGTGGCTATATATGTATGCCAATATCATAAGTAATAACATAATATGTACTTAGCAAACTACTGAATATAAAAACACAATCTCAGGTCCTATGAAGAATGAAGTTTAAATGAGGCATTAAACATATATACGTATAGAGATAACTAACAATAAAACATGTTTCATTTATTGATTTCATTTTCACTGCTTTTAAGAAAGTTACATCTGGCCAGGCGCGATGGCTCACGCCTATAATCCCAGCACTTTGGGAGGCCAAGGAGGGGAGATCGCCTGAGGTTGGGAGTTCAAAACTGGCCTGACCAATATGGAGAAACCCTGTCTCTACTAAAAAATACAAAAGTAGCCAGGCATGGTGGCACATACCTGTAATCCCAGCTTCTTGGGAGGCTGAGATGGGAGACTCGCTTGAACCAGGGAGGTGGAGGTTGCAGTGAGCTGAGATCGTCCCATTGCACTCCAGCCTGGGCAACAAGAGTGAAACTCCATCTCAATAAATAAATAACATCTAAATAGAAAACTAAAATTTACCCTCAGCCTCTGTGACATGTATATTTTTTTCTGTATTCCTTAAATAAGGAATTGTTTTCATTGCACTATGCCCTTGAGCAATTGACTAGCAGGACTGTGTCTAAATCCACCAGATAGAAATCAAGTTTCTGTCTGTGAACTCTTTGTCTGGCTTTCCTGCCAACTGGAAAGGAAAAGGCAAGGGTAAGAGTGCCAAACTGTTGTTTTCGTTCTCCTTTGCAATAGCACTTAATTCAACTCTAACTTCTTCATTCATAATATGGAAGCCCTATAGGTTTTGTATAAAGAAAACTTGATAACTGCCTCAGTCACAATGAAATTTCTCATTATTCTAGTTTTTGTATTTGAAGTTATAGTGAATTAATAAAGTTTTATCATATAATCCTAATAGCTAATGTGCTTACGGAATGCAAGATACTTTGGTAAGTAGGGTTTCCATGGATTATCGTTTATTATTTTTTCATTTTAGAAGAAACAGATATAGAGTCGGTAACTTGTCTGAAATTATGTAGCTATTAAATGCTGAAGCAGGGATTTGAACTTGGGTGGGGCTCAGGAGAGAGCCTGTGTTCTCAAATACACTGCACTTGCCTCTTCTGTTTAAAACAACAAACATAAAAAACAGCTAAG